GTGTGTGTGTTTGTGTGTGTATATATATACACACACACACACACACACACACACACACACATATGTATGTATGTTCTAAAGCTAATCTCAGAGGGAAGGGGGCAGGGGGGATGGGAAGAGATTAACCAAAGAACTTATATTCATACTAGAGGCCCGGTGCATGATATTCGTGCACTGGGGTGTGGGGGTGGGCGTCCCTCAGCCTGGGACCTCTCAGGGGATATCCGCTTGGCAGTCGTGGACATCCCCCAAGGGGCCCTTAGCACTGCCACAGTGGCGGGAGGCCATTGCGCTCACCAGCCATGAGCCCAGCTTCTGGCTGAGCAGCACTCCCCCTGTGGGAGCGCACTGACCACCAGGGGGAAGCTCCTGTGTTGAGTGTCTGCCCCCTGGTGGTCAGTGCGTGTCATAGCGACTAGTCATTCCTCCATTCAGTCGATTTGCATATCAGCCTTTTATTATATAGGAGGATATGCATAGCCCATGGACACAGACAATAGAGTCATGAAGACCTGGTGTGGGGCGGGATCTGGGTGGAGGAGAGAAAAGGGGGGAATTAAAGGAGGGGACACCTGTAATACTTTTTCATCAATAAAGATATACTTCTTTAAAAAGGGTAAGATATGTTTAAATAATGTGACCCAAAAAAGCTAGCCCTTAATTTATGAAATACACATATAATACTCTTTTAACAATAAAGATTTTTTTAAAAAGGCTAAGATTTTCACAGAATTGATACTAGTTATTACATTTAAAAATTCACTAAAATCAGATCAGATACTCCTAAAATATCCAAAGTTTCATCAGATTTCTGCAACTTTCTATTTCACTTAAGAAATGTGACTGCTGTCAACTATCATATTAATTTAATGATTTTAAGAATTAGAAAGACTAGCTACAAGAACACTTTTATATTTTTTTTAAACACTAGAAAAAGCTTACACATTTTAATTGTGTGTGCTCCAACAGTAGGTATACAAAACACTGAATTATTCCTCAAGGTAATCTAAATGAGAGATTGGCAAACTTTCTCTATAAAAGGCCAGATAAAAGTTTTAGCCTCTGTGCTCCATTGTTTCTGTTGCAAATGTTCAACTCTGCCTTGTAGCAGGAAAGCAGCCATAGACAATATATAAATCAGTGGGTGATGCTCCATGGTCATATACAAGTCATTAATCTGATTTAATAATTTTGAAAATAAAGTGTTTATGGTGGTAACATATTTATATGGTGCTTTACCATTTATAACAGTAGGTAAAGAACTTGAAAAATAAGTCTTACCACTCTAGATGGTTTTCTTCTGTTGATGCACTGGCAGTCAATACTATATAATGTCTATGAAGAATTTTTAGCAACAATCAGGGGAATAAAAAGCAATAAAAATTGTTAGTGTCTGCTTTTCCAGTACTTTTTCTTTCTCCCAATGAACAAAAGAGCTAATGCAGGCACACAATTTATGAAAATCAAAACATACTTTAATTTTTACAAAATTAATTCCAGACACTGCAATGAAAAAAATAACTCACTACAAACAAAAAACCACTAACAATGGGTTATATACTGTACTACTACAATATAGAAACTCATCACTTAGGAGTTCTGGTAACCTATTCTCACTCATTTGAAATATACATGACAATTGTGACCTATCATTTATTAACTTTGTAATAAGTTTAATGTTATTCTTTATGCACACACACACAAAATGGGAAACTTCAAATACCTATACTTTTGAAAAAAATTTGGTGGCTCAAGTAGTTTGGACCAATCTGATTTCCCTTGAAGAATTTCACCTGTGACTGCAAGACCTAAGTTTAGAGAGAGAGAGAGAGAGAGAGAGAGAGAGAGAGAGAGAGAGAGAGATTTTAAACAATGACTACCATATTATCAGCTCCTGCATTATTGTATTACGCTACCCCCAAACCTCTAATCCCACCAAATTCTTGAGTAAAAAAAAAAAAAAAAAGTAACTTTATTATGTTCTTTCTCAGAGCACAAAAGTCAACTTCAACCAGATTGGGCTGATTCTATTTCTGGCCTTAATATTATAATACTAGAGGCCCGGTGCACAAAAATTTGTGCATTCGGGAGCGTCCCTCAGCCGGGCCTTGCCCTCTTGCAGTCTGGGACCCCTTCGAGGATGACCACCTGCTGGCTTAAGCCCGCTCCCCAGGGGACTGGGCCTAAGCTAGAGTCAGACAGCCCTCTGGCAGCCCGTGGAGCCTTCAGGGGATGTCCACTTGCCAGCGGAGACCAGGCCTAAGCTGCAGTTGGATATCCTTAGCGCTGCTGAGGAGTCAGAAGAGGCTCCCACCACCAGTGCTGTGCTGGCAGCGGTCAGCATGGCTTGTGGTTGAGCAGAGCTACACCTCTGGGAGTGCACTGACCACCAGAGGGCAGCTCCTGCATCGAGCGTCTGCCCCCTGGTGGTCACTGTGTGTCATAGTGACCAGTCATTCACAGTCGTTCTGCTGTTAGGGTCAATTTGCATATTACCCTTTTATTATATAGGATATTTTGGAAAACCAAGTACTGAAAAAATAAATACACATTTCTAAGAATTTTAAGAAATAACAAGCATAAGTAACTACAAAATAGAATAAAATTGTTGTCAACCAAAACCTTGTGGGAATATGTAAGGGCAATAGGGCCAATAGGTTTACCTTGTTTAAATTCTTCTACCATTACTGTTCGAGTTGATGTGGACACATTATACGTAGAATTCTGTTGTGGGTAGGCAGGGGTGATTATGGGCATGAGATGATACCTATCTGATGGATTTACCTGTGAAATTAGAAGCAGAATAATTGATCTATTCTCCTATTTCAGTTGTCCTCACTTCATTTCCCCAAAAGTCTGAAGAATATGAAATATAAATTTAATACTACATTTCCTCAATTCTAAAAAGTACATATCCCATCCCCAACTACATTTATTTCTGAAGTCAGATGTGACTGACAGTCAATGGAAACTCTGCAGAAGTTTATTTTTCCCCTGAAAAGCTGTTAAATTGATGGTGCACCTTATAAACAATAGTCTCTTAGAACCACGGAAATACAGTATCATAGCTGCAAATAAGCATTATCTGGTCCAATGGTTCTCAATCCTCTTTCTGCACCTATTCATTGAGTGACTTCCCCTATGTTACTCAGAGAAATGAGCAATTAACTCTAAAAGCAAACTAAAATGCAATGTGAGTGAGACTTATGCTATTTTGGAACCATGAATCTGCTTTTTAAGTTGTACTGCAAAGCAAATCTTTTACATATATACTTCAGTACTGTATTAGAAATTATCTGTAAGACAGTTTTAAAAATAGATTATGACATTTTGGTTGATACACCCACTCCCATAGTCTTATATGGGTGATTTTTAATGACATAACATTTGGATTATCATTGGAAAAACACATCATCTGCACCAAAAAACACAGCAGAGGAAGGGAAGGGCTATAGTTACATTAGAAAGAAGATAAGCAGGCACAAGAATTATCTTTAGATTATAATTTAGAGAACTGTCCTTTTCATAAAAGACTTAATGAAATTCTATAATAAGTCACTTACCCGAGGATCCCAAACAGGCAAATTCAAATTGCTTTCTTCTGGTTGCTTCAGCAGCACAGGATTTGGCCATTCCCTAACATAAGACAGATTAGCTCACATAGGACCTCACCTCGGCAACCATATGAAATGTTAACATCATTTGACTTTGTTCCAACTTTCATATAGCAAATGTCTTGGGTATTGGGCATTTAAAAAAATGGAAAAAAGTGGATCATTTTAAAGCAGTGTTCTCTGAAAGGGTAAATACAGCTTTGCCCATTAGCTGTATCTAATTTAAATCTAAATTTTTCCTTTCCTTTTCATTTACTTTCATGTATTAACTCTGACAACAGCAACAATTAATATTTACTGAAAATACTCCTAACAAACCCATGCAGCAGCTATGATTATTAACTCTATTTTACATGAGGAGATCTTAAATGACCTCGACATAGTAATTGGCTAAGTATTGTGACCACTCTCTCAAGCTAAAGATGCACATTTACAGACCCCTGGCAAGTGACATCTGGTGTCCCAACACTCCCTCTAATTTGATGTTTTTAAACTTTTAACGAAAAAGAAAAAAAAGAATATAAGCCATGGACGGCGTTTCTAAATGGTTAGAGCATTTGCACATACACCCAAGGGGTCTCAGGTTCTATTCCCGGTCAAGGGCCCATACCTGGATTGCAGGTTCAGTCCCCAGCCCTGATGTTTCTCTTTCTCTCCCCCATCCCTCCTCCCTCTCTCCCACTCTATCTAAATCAATGGAAAAATATCCTCGGGTGAGGATTAACCAAAATAAATAAATAGAAAGAAAATGTTAAGACAATAAAAAAAAATCTATACATAGCTCTTAAATTTCCACAGTTCCAAATAGGCAGAGGTTAGTAAATAAATGAAAGTATGCATATGAATACTTACCACTTGGAAAAAACTAAAAAGAACTTATGAACTAAAGTAGAAGCTGCTGCATTTGGATATAATTGGCAAGTTCTTGCAACTAGCATTGCCCAAGAGACACCACCAAGGAATCCCAACATGTTGGAATAAATACCACGTCCTATAAAATTAATATATTTGTTAATTATTGTTAGGACCTACTATCCATGTCATTCAACTGTAAAGAACAGGATTACTTCCTTCATAAGACTGCTGCTTAGAACTCTCTATTGCTTTTTGCTTCACATATTTTAAAGATCCTAAAAGACCCTAAAAACCAGTTACATTAGGCTTGGCTGGTGTGGTTTAGTGGTTGGGCATCAACCCATGGACGAGGAGATCAGGGTTTGATTTCAGGTCTGGACACCTGCCCGAGATGCAGGCAGGATCCCCAGTAGGGGGCATGCAGGAGGCAGCAGATCAATGATTCTCTCTCATCATTGATGTTTCTCTCTCCCCCTCTCCCTGAAATCAATAAAAAATATATTGAAAAAAACCCCCACATTAAAATCAACAAGTAGACCTTCATGCTAGGCCTAGTCTTATTGGTAAACCATAACCTGCTTACCATAGCCCCCTACTTTGCCCTCCAATACAGAAACCCTTATTCCCTATCTCCGTTCTGACTGCCCAACTAGACTCCACTGATATGACATTGGAATCTCCCACATTTCAATATTTACGGTTGAGAAAGAAATGAAAAAAAGGCAAGATATCTGGAGAGTTCTATAAGTAGGGAAGAATAAACATTTCATTAGTAATCATATTCATGGGCATTTTAAAATCAAGTGTAAAGCTGGGGACTAAGTTTAGTATTTTGCATAATTATTCTGCATAATTTGCATAACTTTAGAATTTTCCATAAAGCACAGCACATCACTGATATTACTCAATTCTCATATGATTGTTTCTTATAGCAATCTATAAAAAAGCATTACCATATTTCAGCAAACTTAAGAGCCTTTTTCAATTATATAATACTAGGGGCCCGGTGCACGAAATTCATGCACTGGGTGTGTGTGGGGTGAGGGGGAGTGTCCCCCAGCCCAGCCTGCCCCCTCTCACATACTGGGAGCCCTCAGGCATTGACCCCCATCACCCTCCAATCGCAGGATCAGCCCCTTGCCCAGGCCTGATGCCTCTGGCCCAGGCATCAGGCCTGGGCAGAAAAGGCAGGGGGCTTCTTCCTGCTTTCCCTTTCGCCTCCCTGCATTGTGCCTACATATGCAAATTAACCGCCATCTTGTTGGCAGTTAACTGTCAATCTTAGTTGGCAGTTAATTTGCATATAACCCTGATTAGCCAATGAAAAGGGTAGCGTCGTACGCCAATTACCATTTTTCTCTTTTATTAGTGTAGAATGGCATGATTTTGTATCCCATTAAGCAAATAAGAGAAAAAATACAAATGTTTATATATCAATTTCAGATATATTAAATGTGAAAGGTAAGCATCTAAGAATTAACAAAACACGGCATTTAATCTGTAAGGGAAGACAAATTACTTGTGATATCCTCTCAGTGTAAATTACTTTATCCTGACTATACAAGGTAACTGAGTCAAAAGACAAATTCTACTTGCTTAAGGTCTTTTTAGATGTGCACTAATATTATGGTAGCTACTAGTTACATTTGGCTATTTTTTTTGGGGGGGGGAGTGTAACAGCTTTTATTGAGACATCATTTACATACCTTAGGATTCATCCATTTAAAGTATAAAATTCAATGGCTTTTAATATATTCTTCACCGAGTTGTGCAATCATCACTATAATCAATTCTGGAACATTTTCGTCACCCTCAAAATAAACCTTTAACATCACATTTCCTGTGCCCCCCCCCTCACCCCCTCCAAATCCTCCATAACTTAGGCAACCTATAATCTACTTTGTCTCTATAGATTTGCTGTTCTGGACATTTCATATAAGTGGAATTGCACAATATGTGGTCTTTTATGACTGGCTTCTTTCATTCAACATAATGGTTTCAATGTTCATATATGTTGTAACATATATCAATAAATACTCTATTCCTTTTTTATTGCCAAATAATACTCCACATTATAGGAATAGCACTTTTTGTTTACCTGTTCATCAGTTTATATAATGCGGTTGTTTCTACTTTTTTACTATTATGAATAAAGCTGCTATGAACTCTTGTGTATCAGTTTTTGTGTGGACCTACCTTTTTACTTCTCTTAGGTGCTATTTAATTTTAAATTAAATAAAATTTAAAATTTAGTTTCTCACTTGTATGTTTCAAGGACTTGGTAGCTACATGGTTACTGTATTGGACAGCACAATAGGTAACATTTCCATCATCACAGAAAGTTTTTCTTGGAGAGCACTGTTTCAGACTATATAAAACCTGGTGCCAGAAGTGTAGCAGTTAAATGTAGTTACAAACAGTACAAATGTGCTATGCCAGCTCAGGACTGGGCCTTTTACTAACCATATCCTATACATTTAAACTAGTGCAGTTCCAGGTTTTATTAGAAGGGTGTTATAGCGTAAAACAAAAACAAGTTAAAACTATCACTGTAGGCTTTTCATTTAATAAATTTACTGAACACATACTATAAACTTTGTTGGTGATGGGGAGTAAAGATAAGTAAGACACTCCTGCCCAAAGAGAGCTCAAAGATCAGTGAAGAGTATACTCTTCAAGTCCTAACTCATTCTGACTGCCTGGCTGAAACCCAAGATGGAAAGTCAGGGGCTTTTCAGTTTTCACCCATGGGAGAAAGAAGTATAATTACACATTATAGCACCATAACTATTGCACCTGAAACAGAAATAGCTTCTCCAAAACTTATTGGACTTCAATTGGTATCAATAGGCTCAAGAGTTTTCATGTATGCTTCTAGCATTAGCAACTAAAAATGGTAATTTTGCCAGAATGGCTACATCAATAAATCAACAAACGCTAAGTGCTGGCAAGGGTGTAGAAAAAAGGGAACTCTAGTACACTGCTCGTGGGGATGCAGACTGGTGCAGTCACTGTGGAAAACAGTACAGAGGTTCCTCAAAAAATTAAAAATGGAACTGCCATTTGACCCAGCGATCCCACTTCTGAAAATATATCCTAAGAATCAGGAAACACCAATCAGAAAAAATATATGCACGCCTATGTTCATATCAGCATTATTTATAATAGCTAAGATCTGGAAACAGCCCAAGCACCCATCAGTAGATGAGTGAATAAAAAAGTGTGGTAATTTAAAGAATGGAATATGTGGCTGTAAAAAAGAAGGATCTCTTACCCTTTGAGACAGCATAGATGGACTTGGAGACTATTATGTAAGCGAAATAAGCCAGTAAGAGAAAGACAAATATCACATCATCTCACTTATATGTGGAATCTAATGAACAAAATAAACTGACAAACAAAATAGATCCACAGGTATGGATGCATGGAACAGAATAACAGATCTCAGTAGAAGTTGGGGGGTAGGAGGGGACAGGAAGAGATTAACCAAAGAACATATATGCATATATGCTTAACCCATGGGCATAGACAACAATATGGGGAAGGCCTAGAGTGGGGCAGAGGTTGGGTAGAAGGAAGCAAAAAGGAGAAGATAGGAGACATCTGTAACATTGTCAACAATAAAAAAGAAAATTATAATTTTATAATGCAAACATACAATAAAAGAGTTGGGATACTTACGTTTTGCCCATAATTTGACTGCTCTTAGGGTGAGTCTAAAAGTTTCTTTATTTGGCACTAAATGCAAAATTTCATCAGTAACTCTACATCCTGAAAAAGATAAAGCATTCATATTTCATTATGCAACAAAACCCAGTTAATTCAGACTTTCATTTAAAGAATTAAAGAATTCAAAGCACATGGGCAAAGTAATCCAATACTAAAATAAGGGATAGGTCTATCTTTTTAGCATTCTTCCACATTTGACTTGACTGTTAATTAAATGCTCCCAAGTTATAAGAGTGTTATTGCTTTAATGCAAACCTTATTCACAAACACTGTGATTTACTGTTGCACACTAGAAGGACAGCAAAACACAATGATTCAGTTAAACAAAAGATACTATGAACCAGTAGTTCTCAAAGTATGGTCTAAGGACCCCTGGGAATCTGTTAGATCAAACCTACTTTTATAATTGCATTAAGGCTTTCTTTGCCTGTTTCACTGTGTTAACATTTGCACTGAAAGAAGTGGTGGGTAAAACTGCTGGTACCTTAGCAGTAAATTAAAGCTGTAGCAACACTGTACTAAGCAGACATGTTTACTGCCACACATTTGCAGTTAGAAGAGAGCTAAGGAACCTGTGCGGGTAATTTGAACATGTTCGAGGCAAGCTGAGCTACCCATTTTTTTTTTAAGGAATACCAACTTTACTTGAAATAATGATTGACAGAAACTATGGCTATTCACGCTTGAGTATTTAGCAGATACTTTCTAAAAACAAAACAAAGTGAGCCTTATATCAAGGAAAACAAATGACAAAAATTTGTTGCCAATAATAACATTTGAGTTTCCAAGTAAAAATTAGAATTTTGGATAACTAGTATCTGTTACTGTGAGCTTGACAGCTTTCTAATACTTAGACTTTTCTGATGATATTGGAGATATTAATAAATGTAATTTTGATTTTATAACAAAATGTGAGTTAACATTTAGAAAAGCCAAATAATTTTGTGAACCAAAATTTTCCAAATGATGAAGTCATCATCATACAAAATCAAGCATGGATAAAAAAATCCAATTAAAGAACAAGATAGACCAATGGATTTTTAATGTAACAGTTCAAAAAGTTAACTGATATGGTTTTAGATTAGATATTCTAACTAGCCTTTTTAAAAAGATCACTTTTACTCAGCAATAAAAAGAGGAAACTATGGATATATACTACAAACATAGATGTACTTCACAAACATTACAAGTGAAAGAAGCCAGACACATAAAACTAATGATCCCATTTATACGAAATGTCCAGGAAAGGAAAATCTATAGAAATAGAAAGTACATTAGTGGTTGCCTAGGACTGGGGACTTGGAAAAGGGAATGATTGCAAATAGATATGAGGGATCTTTTGAGGATGATGAAAATGTTCCAAAATTCAACTGTTGTACACAACTCTGAATATACTATGTACTACTAAATTGTATACCTAAAAAGAATGAATTTTATGGTATGTAATTAGACCTCAATAAAACTATGGAAAAGAAAAAAAAACTATTACTAGTCAAGTTTTAGTGTAGTATCAAAGAATATCTACAATTATCTGAAAAGATTATTAAAATACTCCTCCCTATTCCAATTACATATCTTTAAGAGGCCAGTTTCTCTTCCTATGCTTCAATCAAAACAAAATACTGTAAGAGATTGACTATAAAAGTAGATATGAAAATCTAGCTATCTTCTACTAAGTCAAATATTAAAAAGATTTGCAAAAATGCAAAACAAAGCCATTGTTCACACAAAAATGTTTACTGTTATTTTAAAATGAACTAACACACCCTTTAAAATTTTCTCGGTTTTTATTTCTGATATGGTAAATATTGACCGTATTAGATGGTTCAGTACTAGATATAACCCACATAAACAGAAGATCTTTGGGGTCCTCAATAAATTTTTAGAGTGTAAACCAGTCCTGAGGCCAGTAAGTTTGAGAACCACTATTACAAACATAAACAACATTCAAACAAATTTCTTTTAAAGATGTTTAAATGTGGTCAGAGAAATGTGCATAGAGAAAATTACATCATTTTAAAAACGATTTAGTCCAATCCTTTTAAAAGTCCATTACTAGTTCTGCAAAAAGATCTCTATATGTCAAATTGTTTTCAGGCAGATGGCTGAGATTTCTTTTTAGAAGCTTACCATTTAGGCTGCGAATACACCTTATATCAAGGCTTCTCAGTCGAGAGTCGTCTCTTAAATCTAAATTATCTGATATGGTTTGTATTGCCAGTCTTGCAAAAACTAGGTCAATCTTTGGAAAGATGCAAAAAAAGAGAAAAATATTACTTTTTCTCCTTCTAGTTCATTCTCCCCCTTTCCCACCTCAAAAATGTAAAATGTTGTAAATATTAGTTTTGGAAGTTCTTTAAAACTTCAAAAGGCCTATATAGGCAATCTCAGATGCGAAAATCACCAAAAGTTTTGTGAGGGCAATTGAATCTTCAAATTAAGGGAAAGTATTTTAATTTTAACATATATGCCAAGCTTTAAAAAAACACACACCAAAAAACCAACTTAAGACCTTATAAGTGAATTTCTAGATAAAGATGGCAGATCCAACACACATTTACATTCACTCCCTCTTGAAACCCCTCTAAAATACCAGCAAAATTTTGTTTTGTTTAGTTTCATTTTGTTTTTAAACACATAACGCATTAGGACAAAGGAAAATATGAGACAACAGCAAAAATTGTGAAAGCTGGCAAGTAGATGGGTAAGTGATAAAAGACTCAGCAGATCTCAAACAGCAAAGATTAAAAATATTTATAACCAGGAAATAAGAACAAGAGGTTGTAAATACATACATAACAAAGAGGAATATTTAAGAGAATATAAAAATTCTTAGAAATTAAGTATGTGACAGAAATGGAAAACAATAGAAAGTTTGGAAGAGAAAATCACAAAAAGCAAAACAAAAATAAGAAGATGTGGCCAATAAGTGGAAGGAAAAAAAAAGGGGGGGGGGGCGGCAATCCTGGAGGTCCAACATACAAATATTAGGAGCTCCAGAAAGGAGAGAGGAAACAAAGGCAGGAAATCCAATGGAAGTCAATACAATTTCCAAGAACTGAAGGGCAGGAGTTTCTAAGTTGAAAGAAGACTACTGAATACCTAGCATATTTAATTGAAAAGACATATACTAAAGTATATCACCATGAATTTTACAACTGTGAAGACTGGGGAGAAAAATCATGTAAGTGTCCAAAGAGACAAAATAGATCACATACAAAGGATGAGGAAATTAAAATGGCACCACACTTTTCAACACGGCATGGAAGCTATAAGACAATGAAGCAAGGCCTTCAAAATTCTGAGAACCATTACTTACCCAAACTACCATTTTGGTGTGAGAAAGAGATATTTTAAACATGCAAGATCTCAAAACCATGTGCTCTTTCTCAGGAAGCTAGTGGATAAGTGCCACTAAAATGAGAGTCAAGAAAAAAAACTCTAGAGAGAGGCAAGACGAAATCCCAGGATGATAGTAAAAAAAAAAAAAAAAGATGTTAGGATGTCAGCTGTATATATCAGCCATAGAGAGTAATCAGAGTGAATTGGAACAGGCGAGAAGATTCTGAGATATTTTCCCAGAATGATGACAGAATACTGAGAAATCTATTTAAAGGAGATTTAGACAACTATGACAGGAGGGTCTGAATTAGTCTTAAGAATAAGGCCTAAGCAAATAAATCGCAAAGCAATTAACATAATATAATTATGTTAGGAGATTATGGAAATGAGACTAGGGTAGGGATGAAAGTTGGTTCATTTTCCATGGTGAGAAATCAACAGATATAGGAAAGAGGAATGTGAGGGTCTATTTAAAGACTATTTGATTAGTTAAAATAGATTCTTAAATCTTATTTTAAAAAAAGCAAATAACTCAAAAAGCCCTTATGGGGTTAAATAGTTCAACTGTACAGTCAGAAACATATTAAAAACACTTACCTCAATTCCATCAAATTCAAATTTTAGAACAGGTACAAAGGCATCTTCTACAGCCTACAAAAAAAGAAAAATTTATATATATATGGCATAATCCTTTCTACATCTTTCCTATTTGCCAATAATATGAATACCTCTGCTCCATATATATAAGCTGTAATCCTTTCTAAATCCTTCCTAATTGTCAATAATGTGAATTCCTTTGCTTCCAATTTGTATTAAACTCGACAGAAAAAGTGAAAATGTTCTTGGACTCACATTCTAGGTTAGTACTTCTACTTTGTGACTGTGTTATTTAAGATGCACAAAATGTCTATGACAGTTGTTATCTAACTTAATCTCCTAAAAATATTCATCACAACTGGCAGGCAGAATTGCTATCTGAGTACTTATTATTGTTGATCAAATTGAAAAATGATTATTTACAAAGAGCACTTGTGTTAGAAATTAAAATACAATCAGAACTTATGATTAATCTATCAAAAAATAAGTCAATATAGTTTTTAAAAAAAAGTCAATATAGTTTAGATTTAGTAGAAAAGTCTGAGTCTTCCTTAATCTGAATATAAATTTTTAACCTTCTCTATTCCCACACAACCAAGTAATGCAGATCCTTTGAACTTCATCTTATCCTATCATCTCAGATTGTATTAAAACTATTCACTTGGTTAGTTCCCCTAATCCCTCCTTCCCATAAACAATGTCTTGTTCACTACTGTATTTGTAGGACTAAGGCCAGTGTCTGATGAATCATTAGTGCTGAAACTAATGTGCTGAATGAATGGCTACATATCTACATACATAAAAGCCCAGTGACTGAACGGTGGAACTACCAGAACAACTGTCAACCAGTTGCCATGATGTGCACTCACTACCAGGGGACAGATAATCAACGCAGGAGCTGCCCCCTGGTCATCAGTGCACTTCCACAGTGGGAGCACCACTCGGCTGACCAGGATGAGCGGTGCTCCCACAGCAGGCGGATCACCACAGGCCATGCCCCCACCAGAGCATGAATCCATGCACCAGGCCTCTAGTACATATATAAAGGGTTACTACTAATTAAACTTTATATATGTAAATTATCTCATGGATCCTCAGAAAAACTTTATAAAAATGTTATTATATGCCATCTCCATTTTCTAAAAGAGGAAAACGAAGGCTGAGAGAGAATGGGTAACTTGACCAAAATCTAAGAGCTAATATTTGGTAGATTTCTAGATTCAAATCCAGATGTGTAAAACAATAAAGCCCATGTTATTGATCATTATCCATTATTTTAACAAGACAGAGCAACTTCTTAAGAAATATTTCAACAATTGTAAACCCTAGCTTTTACAGCTATTTATTAACAAGTTCAAGATACTAAATACCAGAGGATACTTACTCTTAAATTTCTAATGCCCTCTTGATGCTTCAATTTTTCAAAAAAAGACTGAAAAAAATCAGATCTCTCCACATGTCTTGGAGCTACACAAAGTGCATCAATGTCAGCTCCTACAAATCAAAGTATTTCTTATCAAGAAGAGCATATTATGTATCGTATTTTTGTTAAGTACACACAAACATGTAAAAGAAAATATGTAATGACTATAGAACAGGGGTCCTCAAACTACAGCCCGCGGGCCACATGCAAATACAAATATTGTATTTGTTCCCGTTTTGTTTTTTTACTTCAAAATAAGATATGTGCAGTGTGCATAGGAATTTGTTCATAGTTTTTTTTTTTTTAAACTATAGTCCGGCCCTCCAACAGTCTGAGGGACAGTGAACTGGCCCCCTGTTTAAAAAGTTTGAGGACCCCTGCTATAGAAAATGCTAATAATAATTAGTTCGGAGTAGTGAGATAATGGGAATTTTTTCTTCTGTATTTTTAAATTATGAACAAATAAAAGTTTGTTAGTGAACACTTTTATCAGTAGAACACAGAAAAGCAGTTACCTTTGGTATGTACTCCAAGCCTATAGGAGCCAAAAGTGAAAATTTTTCCACCAACAGTAGCCACAACAGAAGGTGGGAGATTCTAAAATAAAATTAAACAAAAGGCATTCAATTATTCAAATTATTTAGCACAAAAATCACCTAACTGCTACAGATACATACTGTATTTGTCAACTTTGGTAAGCTGAGGTTTGTAAAAATACTTCGGAGCTCTTTTGGTTGCAGCTTGAAATAAAGAGGGAAGACAAAACAAATCCATGCCCACTACACATACACACATCTCTATATAAGAAAAACACTTTTTATCACTTGACCCTACTTGTCCCCTCCAATTGCATATCTTTGGCTCCATCACTCTCAATAGCCACAAGGAATTTTACCAAACTAATTAATGCTTTCAGCTCTCTATATTATCACTAGAGGCCTGGTACATGAAATTCGTGCATGGGTAGGGTCCCTAGGCCTGGCCAGTGATTAGGGCCAATTGGGGCCTTCCTTCGTTCCACGCTGCCCCCTTGTGGTCAGCACACATCATAGCGAGTGGTCCAACTCCCAGTCGGTCGAACTCCCACAGGACAATTTGCATATTAGCCTTTTATTATATAAGGATACTCTTGGATTAATCCCATCTGCCCTTGTTTTTTGTGACAGATAAGCTTAATTTCTTGATCCTAGCTCAGCAACCTTTCTGCCCATCCTATACTCATTCTTCTTTTTGGCTTACAATTCTTGGTTTATATCCCTCATGTCACCTACTTTCTATTCAACTACCACCCCCTTAATTCTAGGATATTTAACAGTAGCATAAAGCTATCCTTTTGCCCTTAGTCTTTATTTTCTCTTATTCCACTGTGTACAAAATTCACTGATATTCTTAAATTACTCTATTATAACTCTTCTACTCAAAACTTCCCAATACACTCTTCCCTGACCACTGAGATAAGGATCCTTGGATCCTAAGGAAGTTCACAATATGCTCCTATAAATCTTTCCTGCCTCGTCTCCTGATCTTCCCTTCTGAAGCTCCAACTGCCAACATGTCACACAATCCAGTCTCCTTCCCATTGCATTTGCCATTTTCCCTGCCTTGAATGTTTGCCAATCTCTTTCTGAGTATCTCAATACCATCTATTTTTCAAAGTTCACTTCAAGTTCCACCTCTTTCATGAAGCCTTTCCTAATTATCTTCCACTCCCCCCTCACTGCTCCTCTACTATTATCTTTAACCCCTTTGATACTATATTCAGTGATCGTTCTTTTTCTGTAAGTCCCACCTCTTCAACTATATTTAAATTCCTTGGAAGGTGAGAATGGTGTCTCCTACAACTCTTATTTCCCCACAATGCCCAGTGCAAATTCCAAAGAATAATATCTGCTGATTAACTTGAATAAAAATATCTGTATGATAGGATATTGTTATTTCCTCTGCTTAATACATATTAATGTTTCAAGAGTATCATAGCCGAAACCGGTTTGGCTCAGTGGATAGAGCGTCGGCCTGTGGGCTGAAAGGTCCCAGGTTCGATTCCGGTCAAGGGCAATGTACCTGGGTTGCGGGCACATCCCCCACTGGGGATGTGCACACAACCAAGGCACACGCCCTTGACCGGAATCGAACCTGGGACCCTTCAGTCCACAGGCCGACGCTCCATCCGCTGAGCCAAACCGGTTAGGACAATAAAATATATTTTTTTAAAAAAAGAGTATCATAAATAACTTTATAGCTAGAATGTAGTAAATTTACTGATAACTAATGTAAATAAAAGGATAGAGAAGCAAGGACCTTTTATTTTACCCTCCTCCTTCCTACTTTGAAAAACATGATTCTTGCAAGATATATTACAAAGTAACACACAAAATCTCCGAGTAAAATATTTTTGCCACAAACCTATTAACTAAAATGATTTGATTTGGAGTTCTAGGCTGTTTAAATATCCCAATTGTGTATAGATTATTCAAATAATCTTTGATCTAACTCAAATCCTTCAGATATTTTCCAAACTAAAGCATGCATAAATGAAGGGAATTATAATTGATACATAAAATGACCAATCATCTTATCCATGCAACAGAAGATGTTAAAACCAATTTAAATTTTCAAATAAGTAGATATTTTATTTACTTTGCTTTAGAAAAAAGCCAAGTTGTGGCAGTCTCAAAATTTTAACACTGGTTTTATGCCTAGAGTTTGAGTGAAAAACAGCCACAGGGTTTTTGCAGATTAAAGAGCTAATTGATGAAAATGGAATAAAAAGCATTTTTATTAATTAAAAAAAACATTTGACATTGAAAATTTTAAATTCTACTGGATTTTTCTAAGTGCAAAGAAACTATAAAGTGAGAAAATTAGGTCATCTCTTAACAAATTAATCTAACTCTTTGTGCTAATAAGTGCACCCTTGAATGGGGATGGAAGCAAAGACTTCTGTACAACCACAATCTACACTAATAAAAGAGAAAAATGGTAATTGGCGTACAACGATACCCTTTTCATTGGCTAATCAGGGCTATATGCAAATTAACTGCTAA